CTGGAGACTTCCAGTTCAGCAAAGCCACCTCGTTGTCAGCCTCCAGGTTGCCTAACCTCCCACCCCTAAGGACTTATTTAGCGCGAGGATCCGACTTTGAATCAGCACTTCCTGGTGTGTAGTGTGACTAGAACACACCAGAACATGATAGTAGGTGTGTGTCAGCCACCTCCACAAAATAAAATATGTGAAAATTTACAAAAAGTTGCAGCTGAATCTTGAACCAAATAATAACTTCAGCTGAACTAGAAGAGAGCATTGGTTAGTTTCCTCCTTTCTTTCAAATTGAATTCAATTTAAAAATGTAAACACTTTAATAATTTAAACTGTGACTTTCATATTCTTTTCAGTTTATAGAAATTGTAAAAGCAATATTTCTGTAGATTTTCTCTAAGAATCACTTATTAATTTCTGGTCAGCGAAATATTATATGGCTGTTCCTTCAACAGGACAATGCAGGTGTGGACCAGTCACCTCCACAAAAAATGCAGCGCTTGGCAATCAAAGACAGGGACCAGCAGTTGGAATGGCAGCTGCTCCTTCGGATGAGACGTTAAACCGAGGCCCTGACTCTCTGTGGTCACAAAAAATCCCAGGATGTCTTTCGAAAGAGTAGGGGTGTAACCCCGGCATCCAGGCCAAATTTGCCCAGTGGCCTCTGTCCATCATGGCCTCCTAATCATCCCCATATATATATACCATTTGGCTTCATCACTATGTCTCCTCTCCACCAGTAAGCTGCTGTGGTGGGCATTCTGGCGCAATATGGCTGCCGTCACATCATCCAGGTGGATGCTGCATCATCCATTGGTGGTGGTTGAGGAGATTCCCCCTATTATTATTAAGTATATACTGTATATATTAAATATATATGCATATATATTAAATATGGGGCATATATGTGTTATGTTGTGTTTGTACATTTTTATTTGAATGCATGTATAATAAATATATAACACAAACTTATTTATTATCAATGACAACACACATTAATTAACACTGGTGTTATATAAATGAGCCACTTTTTATATGGAGAGTTTTTACTAGACTAAAACATGTTCAGAAAACTTAACACTTTTAAGTTTCAGCAAAGTGATTGAATTGGACATTTTACAATTATTTTACATAGATTCTTCCTCAGTCAGTTCTGTTGTCACAACATTTTTTTTTTAAATAAACCTTTAATGTTAATAAAAACTAGGTTGGTTGTGTGGAACCACTTAGGCACATGAACACTTAGCGTAATAACATAGTAATATCAGAGTTATTACATCTGGACTGAAATGACAAGGCTACTGGGGCCGGTTGCAGCTAACAACTCAGCCTATAGTTTTGACGTAAATGTTACAACTTAGTTACAACTTACACACTACTAAATGTTACAACTAAATAAGCCTCCGATCAGCAGTAACAGTTGGAATAAAATAGCAGACTGACTGAACTGCATTAATAATTTTCCTGACAAACTACAATTCTGTAGACATATGATAATGCCGACATTTACACTCGCTTACATTTTAAGAGAGAGAACATTATGTGAATAGATCAGTATTTTGTTAGCGGCTCATCAACACGAAACCGTCCTAAACAGCATGCAACTGCGTGGTCCGTTGACAATGTCAAATGAATTCATAATAAAGGTAATTTCTTGTGTGTTTTTATTTATCAGTATCTATTTATTCATGAATCCTTATTCATTTCAAATACACTTTATGAATATTATATGATGCATGTAAAAATACCAATTATGATCACGATTGAGTATAGTATCATATTTAATTTAGCTTAATTTCAACAATAGTTAAGGCAAAAGTTAGAATGAAGGATGATCTGAAATTCACAGCATTTCAACACAACTTCTGTTCACGTATTTGAAGGCTGCTATTTGAATATTGAGGGTAAACATCATATTATGAGACTATGCATTACTTTGCGGAGAGCTTATGACCTATTAGCTACGCTCTGCCTTAAGAATAAATGTGTAGTTGAATAAAGTACTAAAGAGTTACAAACTTGCGAGTAGTTAGTTTTTATTTGCAATGCTGTTGTGGGCACTAAATACGGTTAAATAGACAATGTAAGGATTATTTATTTTATTTTATTTTGATGAAAGATAAGAAAAAATTGAAATGAAACAACCCAACACCACAAGTGACCATAGACATTCTGAGTTAATGCTCCTACTGTTTCAAAGTAGGTTCTTAGGTTCTTGAAAAGGTCAATACAAAGGTCAATATCACTAACATGTCAGCTAACTCTTATTAGAGTATTAGCAGACTGTCAGATTAGGGTTCGGGTTAGTAGAATAAATTGAAATGCAGTTGCAAAGGTACTTATAGTAAGTAGAATGTCTAAAGTGGACCACCGAAATAAAGTGTTACCAAATATTTTAAATTGTACAGACCTTGACCAGATTGAAACTCCTCCAACAATAATGATGAAAATGAGCTCTAGAAATATTTAGACCAAACTTACACCACAAGTGACAACCTTGTAATTTCAATATCAGAAAGTGATCAATATTGTCCAGGAAAGATAAAGAGAAGCAGAACAGCACATATCGTTTATCCAGGAAACAGCAGCAGATTTTTTTTTTTTTTTTATAAATGACTCTCAACTAGAAGTTGCTCAGGCTGTTTTATAATCATAAAACTCTAAAATTGCTCCCGGAACTGAAGTCTTCCTTTGAGCCTTCAGACTGGTTGTTAGAGTAAAATACTAATTGGTTGTCAACATTCATCCTCAACCATATTCATTAAAATATTTCCCATAATTTCGATTTCACTCATATGTCCGGTCTTTTACAAACGTCATGCCCCTTTAAAGGTTAAACCCATAAATACCACCATCATTATAAGAGGCTATTCTGAGTTGTATGTCTCTAAGGGAGCCATGATGACGCTATAAGGTAAGTTAATTATATCAATTATGGCACTCAATGTCCATCCAGATATTCTTTGAGTAAAAAAGAAATGCCAATTTGCCAGAAGGTGCGAATTGTTCATGGCTGTGTATAAAAGCAAGGCCAGTAAGCTTTTGAGCAACAGAGGCAAGCTAACAGCAAACTGCACTCACAGGCACTGCAAACATGTGAGTTCTTTTGGTTAGATGTTCAAGATGTGGTTTACTGAGGAAGACTGTTTCATGCTGGGATTGTAATGTGATATGTAATGTGTGTGTGCGTGTGTTTTGCATCTATAGGTTGAAAGCGTTGGCTCTGATGACACTACTGATGATCTCTGTGGAGTCGGACAGAGGTGAAGAGTGGAAGTCTCTGAGCAACCCACAGACCAGGACCCTGGTGAGTCAAACTGCTCTGTTCTTCATCCTTCACGCAAACACTCTCGCTGATTTAAAAAATAAGCAAATGTGGGAGTTTTATATTATTTTTCTATGTGCATAAAAGGTCGTTGAAATCTTAGAAACGTTTTATGATAAAAATTCTAACTTGGCACAAAAGGTAAAAATGACGTTTTTCATTCATGCTACACTCAGGGTCAGTTTTACTCAAAACAATTTTGACTCAATTTTTTTTATTTGTATTTTTATTTAAGTTTTTATTGCAAAGGGAGACAATTCACATATGTTCACATTTGTCACTTTCACAGCTTTACAAAAATTGACTCAATTTTAAAGAACCCTTTATGCCATAAAGGTTATAAGGAGAAATGTCTTAAATGATTAAATAATACTTTCATGTTTAAAGGGATATAACCCTTTAAGGTTCTATACAACCTCTTTTTGTATTATTATTAAAGTCAGACTCTTTTTTTTTTAGCTTCGTTTATTCTTGTAAAAATATTTAAATGACATTTACTGCATTTTAAATTCATGTTCTCGTAATATGTTGCCAGTTTTTCCGGATCCTGCAGTCGTATCTTGAAGGCAGAGAGAGTGAAGCTCAAGCGATGGGCAGGAAAGCAGACGTGAAGGTCAACAAAAACAGCAATATGGAAAATACTGGTTACGACAAGTACAACCTCCATCTTCACAATGACATTTATGATGTTTAGCCTGAAGATTTCATTTTTAGTTTCTCAATGTCTATCATGTAAATCATTAGGTCTAAATGTTCAGGTCATTATGCCTGTGATGTTTTGCACAGTAAAATTTGAACTCTTGCTTAACCAATCTTGTTTCATGTCTCATATACTACATAATTGATCAATTTAATATTTTTTTATGTTATAAATGTTTTAAAAAGATACAAGATAGTTGATAAAAGCAAAGCATGTCATATGTGTTTGTAATAAAGACTTATGTAGCCTAAGTGGTAATGTGTTGTTCTCTTCAAATTATCATTCCTCTATAGTTTAAATCTTCCTAGTTTATTTGTTTACTAAATTAGTATGCGAATGGAAACAGTGGAATGAAAATAGCAACTGTGGAAAATGAGATTTTGTTCAGGAGTGCAGATTCTCAACATAATTATATCATATATTATATATAGGCCTATATTCATTTTTATTAAATATCGAGGATTACTGTGAATATTGAAAGATGGAAGTTTTAATTAAGTGTAATGAACACCATCTAGAAAGGTTTCTAATACTCTCAGGAATGATTTTCAGTTGAAATTTCATATTGAGTAAAATTTGAAAGAAAGCTAAATGAGTTACCATTAAAGAAAAACATTGGGAGCAATTTATTTAAACAACTTAAACATGCGTTGTTGCTTCTTAAAACACACACACACACACACACACACACACACACACACACACACACACACACACACACACACACACACACACACACACACACACACATACACACACACACACACACACACACACACACACACACACACACACACACACACACACACACACACACACACACACACACACACACACACACACACACACACACACCTTCATCTTCTTCTAGATCCATAAGAACGGGATAGGAGACCAGACTTTGCCACAAATGTGAGAGTGACACGTCCGGTTTATCCAGTAGGTGGAGACATGCGCTTTCATTTTATTGCAACTACACAGCACAAACCACAGAAGAAGAGCAGCCAGCAGGACAGAGGAGCAGTTTGATATCTGTAACGTCATATGAGTGAAATGAGTCTGTTGTGAAGTTGATTATGGATGAAGTTACTGGAGCTCAGCTGATCGCTGAGGCGCTCAAATCTCAGGTCTGTGTTGTGTTGCCGGGATGCTTTTCAAAAAGTGTTTTCTTTAAGTTTCTCCTGTATATTTAAATGAAATAATCTTGCAAAATAGGCTATCTAAACAAAACCTTTTTCCATAGCACCAAGTCATTAACGTGTATTTTATTTACAGTGTTGTTGTTTTTCCATTGTAATATGCGGGCAAAGAATCGCCTGCTGTACTATTGAACTTGGACAGTGTGTCAAAGGTTCCGCGCATGCGCAAAAGAGCTGTCAATAAATGTGTGATCTAAAACACTAAACCAGGCATGGAGTTAAATACGGAGATGACAAATTGTGTGTATTTCACCTTACGTTCAAAAAATGATTAGATAAACAAAAAAAATTAAAAAAAGAAATCTCTAACATCTTGACTAAATATGTAGCCTGAATCAGGGGCTTCAAACTTTTAGATGTCACAGGTCTACCCCAAATATGATTATCCTCGTGCGAGGGACCCCCATCCTAAAAATTTAAAGGCAGATATATATATTCATGTTTAGAACGCCCCATTAAAACTGTGAAAAAATAATTAAATATTAAAACAATTTATAAATATCATGAGGTGTGTTGTTGTTTTTTGTGTTGAGATGTATCATTTATTATTTTAAATCAGTTTTATTGATTTACTTATTTATTTAAATCAGTTCATTTTAATCAGATTTATTTAAAAAAATCTATTATTTTATTAATTATTTGTATATTATTTGAATCAAATTGCTTATTATGTATTTATTTAAAATAAATCAAATTTTATTTATTTTAATATTTGTATATTTTAATCAAGGTTAGTTAGTTAGTTGTTTGTTTGTTCATATAATCTTATTTTTATTATTTATTTTAATTTAAAATGTACACTGTTTTTCTCGAGACATTTTTCCACGGTCCCTCCCTCTCTTGTAGCTCCAGTTTGAAAACCCCTGGCCTAAATGTACTGCTTCTTTTATTGTGGCTTGGATTACCAGAAATACTTTAAATATTAAAACGAATATTTAACATATTGGTTTGCCTATTAGGTATGTCTTTTCTTATATTTATCTGCAGAATGTGGAGTACATGTTTGGCATTGTTGGCGTGCCTATCATCGAGGTGGCCATGGCTGCCCAAGCGGCGGGCATCAAGTACGTGGGCATGCGCAATGAACAAGCAGTAAGACAGTCTCTCTTTCCACTTTTATTTTTAAATGTGCTTTCATTACAATGAAGACTGTCTGGGTCTGTGTTTCCATGCATCTTCTCTCTCCTAACAGGCTTGCTATGCTGCGTCTGCTATTGGGTATTTGACAGGATGGTATGAATATGTCAGTTCATTTATTTCATTTATAACTTGTTTTTTCTCATGCTGTTTTGCTGAAGTAATATTTCCTTTCCTTAGGCCAGCTGTGTGCCTGGTGGTGTCTGGACCTGGGCTGATTCATGCTCTCGGAGGAATGGCCAATGCTAACACGAACTGCTGGTAGCGAACTCCCACACAGCTGAATTCACTTAAAATGAAAGGGAATTGACCTCAAATGGGCCATTTTTGTACTTTTCTTCTCTTCTTTGAAATCACAGGCCTGTCATTGTCATTGGCGGCTCATCTGATAGGAACCAAGAAACCACAGGAGCTTTTCAGGAGTTCCCTCAAGTAGGGTCGATTGGAAATGTTTGGCTTTGGTACAAAATAGCCTCTGGTATCTCAGTATTTTTACTGATTTGATACATTAACTAACAAATAAACAGCATTTGGTGACTGATAAATGAAACGCGTTCAATCAATAGATTCAAATATTCAATAATTAGTGATTCATCTCATATATTTATATGTGCTTAACATATCATTTGTATTTATTGTCTTGTGTCTCTTTAACCTGTGATATTCTTTTTCTCGTTTCTCATCAGGTTGAAGCTTGTCGTCTGTATAGCAAGTTTTCTGCTCGACCAAGCAGCCTTGAGATGATACCAGCTGTAGTCGAAAAAGTAAATTGTGTTTTAAAACCCCATGTTTTGTGGCTTGTAGTCCATGTCTGTCAGCTTTGAGGCCATCTATATGATATAAACAAAAGAGTTGATATACATTTTAGAGCCAAGCTCCTTAACATGTCAGTTATGTTCACCCAAACAAACAGAATCAATTAGTTTCAGTGTTTCTATTAACTAAAACTTTTAATTATAAATTTCGTTAATTGATAAAGCTGAAATAAGATGTAAATATAAGATGAAAAGCTTAAACGAAAATTAGAAAACTGAAATAGAATAAGTTTGAGACAAAACGCATAACTAAGTGACTAAATCTTAAACTAAAATGGAAAAATAAAAGCTAATTCAAAATATCAATACATACTAAAATAGCACTGCCCTAGGTTTGTCAAACATTTAATGGGTTCCTGAAATTAAATGCTCCTAATGTAGGCGAAATATACAATGTACAATGTTCTGTTTGTGTTTTTTAGGCTGTAAGGAGCAGCATTTATGGCCGCCCAGGAGCTTGTTACATAGACATAGCTGGAGACATGGTGAACGCCAAAATAGACCGGACCAGTGTCAGGTGAGCTTTATGTAGACTTGAAGATTAATCATAGCAAAGGGGACTAACTGTAGTTTATGATGTGATGATCACTTATTGGTGTTTTTTCTTTTGCATCTTGAAATATGCACAATTGCATTGCTTGTATACACGTTCTTCGTTGTTCTTTAGGTTTGTTTCCTGTTGTCCTGCTCCTCCTGTGAGTCAGGCTGACCGCAGGGAGATCACACAGGCTGTCAGGCTCCTCAAAGCGGCTCAGAGGCCTCTGATCATCGTGGGCAAAGGTGAACAGAATAGAACTGAATGAGCCAGATGTTTGAGCATCTTCAAGGCATGCAGTGTTGAGCTGTGATCTGGTGCAGGTGCGGCGTATGCCAGGGCGGAGAAGGAGATCAGGGAGCTGGTGGAGGTCGCTGGAATCCCCTTCCTTCCCACACCTATGGGGAAAGGAGTGCTGCCGGATGACCACTCCAACTGTGTTGCTGCAGCCAGATCCAGGTATGTGTGTGAATGTGTCTAAATGATCTTTACAAAATCTCTTTTTAATGGAACCGATGGATGTGACGTGATGCCCGTCTCTCTCTGTTCTAGAGCTCTATTGCAGGCTGATGTTATAGTGTTGCTGGGTGCCAGACTCAACTGGATCCTGCACTTTGGTTTTCCACCAAGATTCAGTCCTCATGTGAAGATCATTCAGGTTAGTTTCAACCTGGACACTCAGTAAGTTTCTGCAACATCAGCGAAAAGACTTTAAAGTCCATCTGCAGTGCAGTCAATAATTGTATCCCTTAAAACTCGTCTTTGATAATCAAAATTACATATTTAAATGTTTTTTTTTCCCCTGTGTAAATAATTTCGTCATGCCTTAAAGGGTTAGTTCACCCAAAAATGAAAATTATGTCATTAATCACTCACCCTCATGTCGTTCTAAACCCGTGAGACATTTGTTTATCTTGTCAATATATGCAACTACCACTTCCAAGCCCCAGAAAGGTGGTAAAGACATTATTAAAGCAATCCATGTGACTCCAGTGGTTTAACCTCAATTTTATGAAGCGATGCGAGTACGGTTTACTAAAAAAATACATAATTTACCACTTTATTTACAAAATATTAATCTCCAACGCCCATTCACGCATAAACGTCTGCTCTCATGTCAAAACAACATGCATACGTTGTGGTGCTCTCGTTCGTTGGAGATTAATATTTTGAGAATAAAATTGAGGCTAAACCACTGGAGTCACATGGATTACTTTAATTTACTTTAATGATGTCTTTACTACCTTTCTGGGTCTTGAAAGTGGAAGTTGCGCAAGTGGTAGTTGCGTAGGCTGTCCATGGAGGGACAGAAAGCTGTCAGATTTTATTAAAAAGATCTTCATTTGTGTTTCTGAAGATGAACGAATGTCTTACAGGTTTGGAACGACCTGATGGTGAGTAATTAATGACATAATTCTCATTTTTGGCTGAACAATCCCTTTAATAAACTAGCTTGAATGTAACTCTACACCCTTGCTTCATTTAGTGTACGTGGAACTCCCTGATCCATTCGGTCAACTGTAGTAAACGCTACAATTGCAAGTGGAAATATTGGTTTAATTCTGCCATGTTTGAACCAGAAATTGAACGAATTATACAGGGTCGTCTACAAGGCGATATTTCAGAATGGTAATGCATTTTATGTACCGCTCTCTACAACGTCGGACACATAGCGGTACTTTATTGGATTAGCCTTTGGCTTGAATACATTTTAAAACAACTGATGTGTTGCTAATGGTACACAAACCATGTTCCCGTTCGCTATTTCGAGTCAGGCAGTTGCCTTCTAGAAACTAGCATCTTTAGAAATGCTTCGAACATCTTAAAGCATATTAAAAACACCACAGAAATATATAAACAACATTAAAAACTTAATTTGCACAACAGGGAGTCTTTAAAATTACTAAATGATCTTCACTTTATTGTGAATTTGTTTAGGTGGATCTATGTGCTGAGGAGTTGAGTAATAATGTGAGAGCCGCATCTGCTCTGCTTGGAGACATACGGGCTGTGGTCAGCCAGGTAAATTACAGTATCACCTGAGTTATCTTACATAAATGCAATGTTTTTTGGTTAGCATCATGACAATCTGCACTCTCAGAAAAAAAGATACAAAAGCTGTCACTCGGGTAGTACGCTTTCAAAAGGTACACCTTTTTACCATATAAGTACCTCAAAGGTACATATTGGTACCTAAATGGTACATATTAGAACCTTTTTAAATGGTAATTTTTTTCTAAGAGTATATGTTCTATAGACTCCCAATATCCCTATGAAATACAGTATGTTTTGTAGCATTTATTTCCTTTTAGTTTGACTTATAATGTTACACAAATGTTTTTAGCAAAAATGCATCATTTAATTTATTTTCTCTATTAAAATGGCAGTTTTTCTATACCTTTAACTTAAGGCTTTTCTATATCAATGGCTTCTGTTTTTATTGGCTTACGTCTTTGCCTGTGAAACGAGGAACAGTTTATCCACTGTTACAGAATTCGGAATCAGTGTTGATAAGTATAAATGGACGGCTATATGTTAATGTGCTCATTTTGCAGTTTAAAAGGGTGGAAAACTTATGGAAAATCATGTTTTCCATGAAATGGCCCCTTAAATCTCTTTTTCTATTTGGTTTAAAGCTGTTGGAGACTGTAAGGTCAGAGTCCTGGAGATTTCCTTCTGATTCACAATGGTGGGTGACACTGAGGGACAAAATGACTGCCAATGCTCAGATATCAAAGGTGAGCTTGTGTGCTAGTAGTAACATGATATAATAAAATTGCTTTCAATTGATGATTCAGCTTTATGTAAACATATCAACTGTGAGTTTAGCATGTATAGTATTAGATGAACCATTATTGTGTCCCACAGACTCTTGCTCTCCAGTCCACTCTGCCCATGAACTACTACACAGCGTTCCACCACATTTCTGAGCTCCTGCCCAAAGACTGCATCATAGTGAGTGAGGGAGCGAACACGATGGACATTGGCCGTACCATGCTGCTCAATTACCTCCCGCGACACAGGTGAGAGACATGTTCCTGCCCCACTGTTCACAGCTGGAAAAGAGATGATGCTCTCCCTTGTTTTTATCCCTAGATCAGTATTCACTGTTTAGCTGTCCAGATCCAGACCTGGGATTGGTTCAACTTGAACAGTGAATCATTCTTTACAAATGAAAATGTTAACATACATAAACAGGGGACAGAAAAAATGATGTGCTCTGATTGTCATGACAATGGCCAATTTTAAGATACCTCTGATGTGACATTTCAAATAGGAAATGGTTTGTGTGTGATGAGAGAAATGGAGGACGACATACAGATTTTTTCTGCTGTGAGAAAGTTGAGATCACAAGAAAGCTACCTTTTATGTTGTGGTTAAAAGAAAACAACTTTTGTTGTTTTTTAATTTACTTATAACGTGAAAACTTATGTGTACATCATGAGCAAATAACTTTTGTTATGTTTAGATCACGAAAAAACAGCATTTGTTATGTTTACATTATGAGAAAACGTAATTTATAAAACGGATAGTTCTGGTCCTTGATTCCGATTGGTTTAGCCGCGTTCTAAGCCGCTGTAAATGACTCAACAAACATACACCTGTGACCGCATTACATTAGTATTACCAGAGAATGTCTAATTGAAGAGAATTGGCACTGTCTGGTTACTTCCGGTTTCTGGACTGGCTGCAGTAACACGTCTCTGTCCATGCGGAGGCGCTCGCGGGCGAGTGCAGAATGAATGGGAGTCTATGGGGTTTCACCCCCAGAAATCCACTTTTCTCAGGATGTAATTTTTTGTCAAGTAATCTGAAAGTTGCATTCAAAAGGGAGGGCTAAGATAATACACTCAGCTGAAAACTGCATTTTTAAGTTCACTTATCTGTTCTAAAAATCCGTTCAAAAATGTGATGACGTCACATAATAGCAGAATGCTAGCGTGTTCCGGCCAACAACGGGCCAACCTGTAAGAAATCGAAAGGACATAAGTACTCATTTATTCGACTTTTGGTCTATAATCTATATTGAACTTGCGGAATCAACAATAAAATCTATGTTTATTCAACGACAAGCAGGAGAAAGAGATACATTTAGCCGTTTAGCTCCATAGACTCCCATTCATTCTGCACTCGCCCGCGATCACCTCCAGTGGAATTCTAATGGAACTGCAACTGCGCAACTGCCATTTGTGATTGTTTGTTGCTGCATGTGTTGCTTGGCAACCTCTTTGGAACTTCATTGCTTGGCGGAGGAATAAATGTGTTATAACGTTATATTTTTTTTTTGCTGGTGTTTATTTTATGAATAAAATAACTATTAAAATGAATATTTTATGGAGTAACCGTTTTACAAAAGCAAGCCCCTTGAAGCCGTGTTTTACAGTGAATTTAGAACAGTCGTGCCTAACAACGCCCCTTAGCTGTTCTAAATTCACTGTAAAACACTAATAACTTTTGTTAGATTAGATCACAAAAACAACTAATGTTTAGATAACAACTAACATAAGAAAACAACTTTTGCTAAATTAGATCACAAGAACTACTAATGTTTAGATAACAGCATTTGTTATGTTTAGATCATGAGAACTGGATTTGTTTGGATCATAACAAACAACTTTTGTTGTTTAAATCATGAGAAAAACACTGCTTTGATCACACACATAAAACTTGCTATATTTAGATAATGAGAAAATTGTTTATAAAAACAAAACAAATGTTTAGATCACAAAAAAACATATTTTATTATGTTTTGATCATGAGACAACAACTTTTGGGATGTTTCGATCACAGGAATAACACAATTTTCATTTTAGCTGTATGACATATTGACGTATTGTTAGGATTCTTTGCCCTTTTTCAGAAAAGGAAATTTAAAGAATGTACCATAGAGGTAGCTCTATTAAATGTTGAGTTCTACTGTAATGTTGTCCAGAGCAGTAATCTGAATGTCTTTTACAGGTTAGATGCAGGCACGTTTGGCACTATGGGGGTGGGTCCAGGCTTTGCCATTGCCGCAGCAGTTTTGGAGCAGACGCAGAAGAGCGCTCAGAGAGTGGTGTGTGTAGAGGGAGACAGCGCTTTCGGTTTCTCTGGCATGGAGGTGGAGACCATGTGCAGGTGAAAAACACATCATGATGCATCATTCTAATCATTATTTATCTAAGACCAGTGTTGGGGGTAACTCATTACAAGTAACTTGAGTTACGTAATCAGATTACTTTTTTAAGTAACTAGTAAAGTAATGCATTACTTTTAAAATGTACAACAAAATATCTGAGTTACTTTTTCTAATAAGTAACGCAAGTTACTTTGTTTTCCCCTTTATTGACTGACTGCTTTTCTGTCCTAATGTTGAGACAAATCGAAGTGCAGAGGCGTTGTGTGTAAACATGATGGTTATTATAGTTCTAGATTAAATGCTAGCGTGGATTTACTCATCTCACTTGCACAAAAAAGATTCAATATTCCTCAAAATGAATAAAATCAGTGAAATGCAGAATCAGAACACTATGCAAACCTCCAATACCTAAATATGTTAAAACAAATTTGTATGCATTTAATCTTTATTGACCAAAGTACTTGCTTCTGACCTCCGATTTTTCAGTTAAGCCATAAGCAAAAACGACTATAGATTTTTTTATGTTTTTATTGGTAAAGTAAGTGTTAAATTTGTTTCTCCTGCATCCTCTTCTTCTATTACCCAGAACAGCAGCAGCTGAAAGGTTTGTTTGAGCGATGCCCTCTACTGAACACTACTGTACTCAACTGTACAGGAGTAAATCTGCATTTCCTTCAGTCTGAGGCTTATTATTTCACTTTTGGTGTGAAAGGGTCTTTACATTTGCCCAAAAATATATCTTTTTTGGCATAAAAAACAAGCCCAGCCCAGGTGGAAAAAAAGTAACGCAAAAGTAACGCAACACATTACTTTTCTAAAAAAGTAACTAAGTAACGCAATAAGTTACTTTTTAAGGGAGTAACGCAATATTGTAACGCATTACTTTTCAAAGTAACTTTCCCCAACACTGTCTAAGACATGGAGCTCCACCTTCAGGACGTTTGTGCGGTGTGCATACTTTTATAATGGTTCTATTTGGTCTGCGTTATTATAACTGCTTTTAATTCTGAATAGGTATAAACTGCCCATCATCATCATAGTAATCAACAACAATGGCATCTACAGTGGAGTGGATCCAGAAACATGGAAAGAGATGGAAAAGATGGGAGACATGACCACCATGTGAGTATTGAGCCTAAGGAAAGTTCTGGGTTCCTTCTAAAGCAGAGGCGCCTGAAACTGAAATCCGTGGACAGAAAGTAAATGTTATATTATATAATACAAATTTACAGTCTCTACATTTCAATGCAAAAAAAAAACTATTAGAAATGAAGATATGCTTCAATGGCTTGATTTGTTTCCTTTTGTTTCTCATTTTTGACAATAGATGGTGATGTAAGTTTTGCGACTTTATATCTTGCCAATTCAGACTTTATATATTTCACAATTCGGAGAAAAAAAGGCAGTGTGATACAAACTAAAAAAGTGTGAATTGTGAGATAAAATGTAGCAATTACCTTTTTATTCCATAGCAGAGACAAGCTTCCATAAAAATGTGTGCAGCACTCCAACTTATCAGGGACTTAGATGGAATGAAGATAATACAAATTTGTTGGGATAGATGGTTAAAATGTTGGGGCCTGTAAATTGTATATATACATTTAGAGTCAATAAGTTAATGTTAAAAATGAATTTAATTTAGTGTAACAGATAGCTATCAATAGGCTTCATTTCTATTGAAGTCAGCTGGTATCAAACGCTGGCTATAATACTGACCTGTGTGTGTCTTAGTGCTCCACCGGTGACCCTGCTACCAGAGGCACGGTACGAGCAGGTGATGACTGCGTTTAGGGGTCGTGGGTATCTGGTTCGAACGGTGGAAGAACTCCGCAGTGCACTACAGGAGAGTCTGAAAAACACAGAGATGCCCAGCCTCATCAACGTACTTATAGACCCGGCCTCAGACCGCAAACAACAGGTACCGCACACACACGCAGTCTTGCATTTTCGTTAAATCAGTTGGAATATCATTAATAGAGGAACCTCCGCTGCAGCCTGTATCAATGGCTGTGCCCATAGTATGGGATTGTTGTGATTTATTTATGTAAAATTCAGAACAGATACTTCTTCTAAAGACACCCACCTCAGTTTACAATCATTAATTGAGTATTGTGAAACAAAGAAAAAAGGTGTCAAATATTTCCTGATTTAAAGGGGAGCGCGCCGCGCAAGCCGTACTGAATGTGAATGTGCAATACTTCAGAGTCTGATCACCTTGTTTTATTACAGAACTGCAAGAATACAATACAAACAACATGTCACATTATAGAGCATTACAATTAGACAAAGCTTAAAATATGAATTACGACTGAAGTCTATATTGGGATGATTAAAGTTTTTGGGGAAAACTTGTATTAAACGATGTTTGCATTTTTTTTCATGCTTTTACTTAATGCAATTATCAATAATTAGATAAATTTGATGTTGTGTAAGAGAGAGCGAGATTAAGCATAAGTTACCCGAGTCTATGCGTGTCTCAACAGTGTTTGGCAGTAGCATCTCTACTATAAGAGAAACTGTAAGTTTATCTGCTCCAAAAACAGCGCCGTTATTACCTCGCTACTGAGAAATGTCATGTAGCTTTTAATTTGCTAAACTATTTTACTGATAAAATCATCAGTGCAGCGATGACAACACGTTTCTGTACGAGTGTGTGTCCGTACTGTATGCATTTGAATGGGAGAGTGAGTGGGAAAAGGAGAAAATGTGCTTTAATAAAATTTTATTTTATGGCAAAAACACGGAAATAACTTTTCATTTTTGTCCTATTGTTTACTATATTTATTTACTTTGTCAGTGTCGTAGCAGGTTTTGGTTGCTTTGTTGTTGTAGGCTGAAATAACAAATAATTTTTGGCGAAGTGATATGAAACTTTATTACATGGCTTGGTTGAATTTTAATGTAGAATGCGGTCTGTTATTTCTTGATAACAGACCGCTGCTAAGTATAACACACCGTTGTCATGAAAAATAGAGCGTTGCCATGGACACAGTTCTGTTCACTCTGGAGGATAAACTCATTTAAATCCTTTTTAAATCAATATTTTATGTCAAATTATTGATTTATTTGGTAGGTAGCCATGTAATAAGCGGGATAATGTAGAGCGAGGCGGTTGTTATAGCGAATACAACCGCTTCGCGTCGGGGTCCTGATCAGGCTGTCGGGGTTGTATTTCTTTTACTGTCTATGTTGTATTCGCTGTAACAACCGCCTCGCTCTACATTATCCCTTACGTAATGCGGTACAAGACCTGCCTGGGACTACTTTAGCCGTGCGTTTCCCTGAAAATAATTGCACAGCTTATAACTTTTGTCAACCAATCAGTTTCAAGCATTTAACAGCCCCATAGTATAGAGAGCCTAAGTCCCGCCCCTCCGCTTCCGGCTCATGGGACCTTATTTCGGAAAAAATATGTATGGTAGTCAATGGCGAGAGACAACTTATCTTTTTATTCCGTCTGAACTGTACCCTGAATTACACATATGATGTTTGTCAATTTAAAAGATAATTATGAAAGTCAAGAAAGTCGCAGTTTGTCATAAAACAGAAGAGTGACATTTAGTTTTATGTGAAAATCGCTCAATGAACTACATCTCCCGGGAAGCGAAACAACGAGCGAGATCCGCTGCTCGTGTGTGTGCAGTCTGGTTCAAAACACTCAGGCATGACGGCGTAACGTTTCGATTATAACGTAAGACTATAGACGAAATGACAGACGTTAGCTTCAGTAAAGTTAGCTTCATTCATTGAGAGAAAATGTGCGCCTTTTGGGTTTGTAGTCTTTTTAATTACGTATTTTCACAGTCTTATACCTCAACAGTTTTACATCAAACTGCGACTTTCTTGACTTTAAAATGTATCTTTTAAATTGACAAACATCATATGTGTAATTCAGGGCACAATTCAAACGAGATCAAAATATTTGTTGTCTCTCGCCATTGACTACCATGCAATATTTTTCCGAAATAAGGTCCCATGGTGGTCGACCGGAAGGGGAGGGACTTAGGCTCTCTATAGAGCTGGTAAGTCCCGCCCCTTCCGCTTACCCCGCTGGACCTCTAGGTTGAAAAATCGTCAATGCAAGTGAATGAGAGAAAATAATTATTTTCTAATCCCGTTTGAATTTTGCAATGAATGTGAACATATGTTGTCTGTGAATTTTTTATATAATATTTCGTGTAAAGAATGCTACAATTTAGCGGGTAGAATTTTCATACGGTTAGACTTTGTGTGAGAGCACTTTGTGGACTACAACTCTTCGCTGCTTTCGACACGTTTGATATACGTCACCACCACTAGCACACGGATCCCGCTAAACATGCCTTTGTTTGAATGGTGACATTTGGGTACAAAACACACAGGCATCTCGATCTAATTCCTTAGATTATCGCACCGTGATTTGTGGAGGGAAAATGTGTTATGCGGCGACGTCACATATGTGACGTGTAGTCTTTCTCGTTATGTCTATTCCACAACTGCTAGCCAAAGAATCATACATACACTGTCAAACTCGTTACATGAGAAATTATATAAAAAATTCACAGACAACATATGTTCACATTCATGGCACAATTCAAACGGGATCAGAAAATAATTATTTTTCTCTCATTCACTTGCATTGACGCTTTTTCAACCTAGAGGTCCACTTGGAGTTTTACGGATGGGCGGGACTTACCAGCTCTATAACAATTTTTATACTACAGGCACTGATCTATATAGAATGTCATTATATAGATCAGTGACTACAGGGCTGTTGAATGCTTGATTCTGATTGGTTGAGAACGTTCTAAGGTGTGCAATTATTTTAAGGGAAACGCACGGCTAAAGTAGTTCCAGGCAGGTTTGACCGCATTACAGTTCCATATCACTGCGCGTAGTTAACTGTAATAACGGTAAATAGGATACAATTCATAACAAGAAAAAAACATGCAGCCCCATGCACTTGATCTGCAATTTTCGATGTCTAACTTCACAATCAATGGACACATACATTACAATCAATGGACACATACAGTTTAATTTTAATAAATAAAGTATGTAGTCCTATCTATAGGCTAAATAGATAATTAAATTGAATAGGCTATATAAATAAATTGATAGTCCTGCTGGGTTTTCGTAATTATTCCAGATAATATAACAAATAAATAATTATTGATAGGCCTACTTGTTAAAAGGGCTTTGTGTGTTTCATTTATTGGGTTATCTACTGTCAATTATAGAAAACAAGAATGGACGAATTAATTAAAACAAATTTAATTAATAAATAAATAATAATATTGACGCACATGCTTTTCTGTCTCATTATTGCAACATCTCTCTCTCTCTCTCTCTCTCTCTCTCTCTCTCTCTCTCTCTCTCTCTCTCTCTCTCTCTCTCTCTCTCTCTCTCTCTCTCTCTCTCTCTCTCTCTCTCTAATAACAGCATTAATAACTGCATAAAAAAGCCGGGACACACTGACTAAGGCCAGTTATGAATGTAATTTGATACGTTATGACTGATCATGCCCAAACGCGTGTTCAGCGCGTCACAGTCTGTGTTTAAGACCTGCTACAGTCGATGGAAACAGTCAGTCTTCGAATGTTTCAGCAAGTCGTAAGTGTGTCCCCATCATTAGTCTGCTATCAGTGGCTCAAACCTCCGTTACTAACTCTAAAATGACGCTTCGCTCCGCTTCGCGTCGTGACCGCATTACCACCTCGGGTGTGCATTACTTTTCTAATAATTCAATGGCCTGTCGTCAATTATTCCTTACATATAAAACACAATATTCTTACACAGGAAAAACAGGGAATCTAAGTTATTGGCAACTGGGTAGAGTGGGGTTGTTGGACCTTTGACATGTACAGCATGCCTGTGTTAAGTGTCCATAACATCACAACCTGTGTAACCTTAAATTTCAACACTAACACACTCTTTTTTTATACCTCCCTCTCTCATATACACACACCTTAAACATATCTGACCTTTCTATTCTTGAAAGTTATGAGGCCCCATTATTGAAAGTTGTGACCCTCTTTGTTGTGCTGGTTGTATCCTGGCAACCACACGCAGACGTATTGAAGGATTGGGTGTCATAGCGAGCTGGAACACTGAAACTCTCTCACACCGACACTCAAAGGGCTTCCCCAACGATGAATGGAAACTTTCTAGTGTTACAAAAGCATTTAGAAGTAAACTTCAATGGAGTTTATTCATGTGTAAACTTTTGTTGTCTTTAATGTTTGTATCATAATGAGACTGTGTTTATCTCCTAGGAGTTTCCCTGGCTGACACGGTCAAATCTTTAAAAGCTGACAGAGGTATCGGATGTCGGATCACACTGCATCTTACACTACATTTTGGTCAATTTACTTATTTACTGTAGGTGGCACCGTTTCCTATAAAAATAACCAAATCTATCATTTTACATGATCTACTCTCATGGTCTTCAGTCTCTACTGACTGAAATGAATTTTCATAGATTCCAGTTTTTCTTTAAAAACTTAAAAGAAACAATTCGCCCAAAAATGAAACATTCTGTTATCATTTACCTCATGCCGTTCCAAATCTGTTTGATTTTATGTTTCTTGTGGAACCCTAAATTAGATTTTTTGTTGATGTTGTTGAAGATTTTCCAGCAGCTCTTTCTATACAATCCAAGAAATGAGTTCCATTGTTCTGAAGTCAATGTGTTTTTGGTTAAATATCTGAAATAAGGTCTGTGGTTAAAACAAGCTAAAGATATTTTCACATTATATTCTACAACATATACCTCACTCGTGCCCTCACTCTATACTCATGCTCTTGTAAACTCTATTTTAACCCTACAACTTTCCACCTTAGATTTGAAATAGCTTTGTGCTTGGTGATGGTGACGTTGAAGTCATGTGGCTGTGGTGTAGTCCATTTAAAGCCTAAATTTAGCCTTTTATTGCTGCTGATTGTATTTTAGGCTTCAAAATGTTGATTTATGAAACATAAACTTTTGTTGTTCACAAATCCTATTGATTTTTTGTCGAGGGAAGCAGGGGCCACTGTACATTCCTGGTTGGCATACAAAAAAAAATGTCATCCCTTCAGTACTTTATACTGACCATGACCATGTCTGTCAACCCATATGATTTGTGCAAGTCTTCTAAAGTTATACTACAGCTTTATGTGAGAAATAAGCTAACTTTTAAGTCATTATTCACAGATAATATTCATGTCTTGCATCTAGCCCGCATTGTTTTATTCCTTTTTATAGCTATAAAAGAGCAGTGGGAAGATTCTTCCAAATATATATTTTTTTTGTTCCACAGAAGAAAGAAAATCATACAATTTTGAAATGACATGTAAATGATGACTGAATTTCTCCTTTTAAAGAGAAAATGCTAAATAACAATGTCAAATAACAAATGAAGGGACATTTCACTAGTTAATACTATGTATATTTGATCATTTTATTTGACTGTTTCAATTAATTTTTTTAATTCCCACTGTATATTTTGAGTATTTTAACCTCTGATCTCAGGTCAGTGTTGTGTGGCACTGCTCCTGAGGGCTTCTGTTTAAGCTCATCTCAGTATCTGTGTAATTGAGGTCTTCCTGGCCTCGTCTTCTGCTCTTTCATAAGGTATCATAACTGTGGTGCTTTTTATCACAGAGTGAGAGAGCTTCTCCTCCTTGGCCTTGGCAGATCACACCATTTTCACAATTCTACATTGTGGAAATGTTCCCAACAGTTTTACAGCATATAAAAGAACCATTTTCACAGCCAAATGTGTAAAGGTGAGAATGTTCACATTATTAAAGCCTTATAATTGTGTTAATTATTGTGCACTTACAAAAATGTCCTTATGTACATTGTTATTGTATAAAAGTGATAGTGATTTAAAAAATATTTTTCTAATAACAGCTTGTGATAAGAAACAATGAATGTACTGCAATGTTGATGTTCTTTTGAAAGATTTTGTTGTAAAATTAAAATGCGATTCATAAGAAGCCATCTCTGCCTGTCTTTCTCTCCATCTCCCTGTCTGTCTGTCTCCTTGGTTCTGCACTTTGTCTGATTGCAGGCATTTACAGACTGCATCTCCCATTAGGCTTTTGAACGGCCCTCTTCATAATTGCTCTGTCATTAATTCTGAGGGAAAGTAAAGGCGCCAATAAATTGTGAGCAGTGGTGGTCGATAAGTCCTGAAGAGGAAAAAAAAAAAGGACACAGAGAGAGGGAGGGCGAGGGGGTCTGGAAAACATCTGTGATATTCCACTACGGAGCATGCTGGCTTATTCTGTCATTTTATGCATGTGTGTGCATCACATGCCAGTGGCAGCCCGTCTCAGATTTAAGTTTCTCATTTCGAACATTATAGATGCTCAAGCCTCAAACCAAAAGCAGGTTTGACTTTCTAGCGTTCTATACAAACAGATCATCTATAAATGAATGCCTGTAGTTCAACTTCACCACTTGCATGACACCTTGTCACTTCAATGTCATTTCTATCCATACTGTTTTGTTTTCTCTGTCCATTTGAGGCAGGGGAAACAAAGGCAGTGCTGGCAGTAGTAACAGGCTAATATTGGCTACAGAGGGCAGCTGACCGACTGCCTCCTGTATATTTAGCTCAGGGCCAATACATGGGAGAGGTGTAACAGACATTGGCTGGCATTCACTTCTCCTAAAGGCGTGGATCTAGTGTGTGTGTGAGAGAGAGAGTGGCAGGGAGAGAGAGGAGTAGTGCGGGACTGCCTCAGATCACTCCTCGGTGCTATTGGAGGTAGACGGCAGCCGGCAGAATGATTCTGTTCTCGCTTGGACTATATTTTCAACTCCTCTGCTATGTGTCGTCATTCTCTTACGTGGAGAACATATTCCCTCTCCCAACAGGTAAGACATCACTCTCTTTTGCACATGTTTGGTAGGTGCTGATATTAGGGGTTTTCTCTTACAGAGGGAAGTTTGTTTGCACAATATGCAAATCTGACTATTTTCAGCAACATAAGCTTGTTTGACCAACTTGGTATTTTCATGAATCATGCAAATTAGATAAATGCAGTTGCAGAATATGCATAACTTGACTCGGGTTGCACTGCTCGTTATGAGATGTTACCCTGATTTTGCAATACATTTCCCCACAGGCATCAATGAATTATCTCTGGTTATTATCTCTAATGGCAAAATGGCAGTGTTTCAGTTTTGTCGGCCAATACTGCAGTGAAAAGTTTAATTCGGCAAGTGCTTCTTTTTTTCTTTTTTTTTTTGCAAAGTTAACAGATTTTTTTTGTACTTTATATTTGAATGTACTGTGATACTTGTATATATGGTCACTTTTTTTCTCCTGCACAGCAATAAAATATATATATATATATTACATAAAAAATGTGGGAAAGTATTTCGACACTTAAGTCACACTTAATGTATGAATATCATTGCATTATATACGCTTTATATACAAGTACCATTTATTTGAAATAAAGACAGATTATGCATAACCACAAATATTCAAAAGACATTAGGTTGATAAAACAATACATATACTGTTCATTATGACAAGAAAAAGTAATTTTCAGACGTTAGTGGATCCTTTTCATAGTAATGAAAATACTTTATAATAAAGTAACTATAATAATAAATATATACTTATAATAAGTAACGATGAACTGCATTTATTTAGTACACATCTTTTTCTTCTGCACCTGACCAATTAATACTAGCACTTACCTTTTCTATTCTATACTATTCTATTTAACCTTGTTATGTGTACTGTGCTAGACTAACTGAGACTTGTTACAGCACTTGTTTACTGTTTCCCTCTTGTTGGTCTTATTGCTTCTATTGTTCTCCTCATTTGTAAGTCGCTTTGGATAAAAGCGTCTGCTAAATGATTTAATGTAAACGTAACTGTGTGAACTTGAGGTGAACTGACTTCATAGAATCTCTAAAAATCACCTTGACACCAGTTGATGAAGTCATCATAAATGCCTTATTTTTTAGAAAAGCTCTAGCGTCATGTGTTTGCAGATAAATCTTTAAATATCCAGTAGTTTCAGGAATGAATGGCCTTTCGTTACACTCTTATCCACATGATAACTATCATAGCTGTCATGTGTTTCAGTCTCTCTTTTCCAAAACAGTGGCGTGAAACCCTGTTCCGCTGGCCCACGTGTCTGTTGACATGTTCCTCATGAACCTCATTTCCCCACATCTAGATCTCCAGTTGCTGGAAACCAGAAAGAAATTCAACCCCTGCTGTTTACTGAGTCCACCTCCGCCCCCTCTCTTCCCTCCACCCCCTTCACTGTGGCGGCAGGGGTCTCTGGTGAGTCCTGACACATGACCGCTGATCCAGCACCTGCATTTTATGTAGGTTCCCGGTCAAAGGTTACATCAAGTGTTCAGGGTGTGAGTAAATACATTAAGTTTGTCCCTAGGACCACAACAGCTGTGTCTACATTACTTTGATAAATTAATGCAAATAAAGGTCAAAAGAGGTTTGTGATTACCACTGAAGCTGCAAAGACTGTAACTATTTATTTAACATTTTCTCATTTCATCATATTTCTCAGATTTTATTTTATGTGACTTGTCTTATAGACTGAGACTGGTGTTACACCAAAAGAGGGGAAATCAGAAGAGAAGCACAATCCCACAACCCACACATGTTCCCCAGGGCCTCCAGGACCAGCAGGACCTCCTGGCCCTCAGGTATGTGCTTCAAATGTGATATAATGTTGAGGACGAAACCATATGCATTCACATACAGTACATTTTTTGTCACAAAAACTGGCAAGATTTTAAAATAAAACTATGTGACTGTAATCAACTCAAATCAGCGAAAATCTGTTGTTGTTTGAAGGCTAGTTTGATTTTACACTGTTTGAATGGCAAACACTGTGTTCAAGAGCTAGAGGGTATATGAGGGTATACAAAAGGAAAAATCTTGTTTAGATTCCTAAAATGTTCTCTTGGTTTCGGTTCTCTTTATTTGGTTTTGAAAAACTTTATAAAACGGTTAGTTCCAGTCCTTGATTCTAATTGGATGTCATGTGTTGTAACTATCATATCAATTATCATGAATATAAATATTATTGTTGGTCGCACCACGTTACTTTTTTCTAATTGGTGAACAGAAATTTGTCATTATTTTCAACAAAAAAAATGTTTGTCAAAGAAAATCATAAATTCTTAATTCTCAATTAATCTTTATGCTTTTGCAGTCATGAAAACAGTCCACAGGAGAAAACCAAAGCAAAGATAATACTGGGCAATGAGTAGGCCTACAACTAAACTGAGGGCTTAAAAACACAGGAGAAAACAAACTGAACAAGAAACGGGTGCACAAAGCAATCAGTAACCATGACAACAAATATTAAATGAGAACTCAGGCAAACAGGAACAGGGAAAATCAAACTTAAGGACTATTTACACACTGTTTTAAAAAAAAACTTTTTATGCATTTTGGCCGTTCGTTTAAACGTCAATGGCACTTTGGGGGCCTCAAAATGCAGACTTTTGAAAAGGGGTTTCAAAACGATACCGTTATTATCTCTGTGTAAAGTACAAAAATGCGAATCTGTGGAAACGGTGACGGCATGCACATGTGTATTACGTGTTCAGTCTATAGGCACGCGCAT